ACTAAAATGATCCCAGCATGTCACTAAAAAGTACATAAAAAGCATCTTCTAGACTTCAGACCCCATCAAATTAAAAACTTTATAATGTCTGCATAAATATATCATCTTTTTAACTTAGAAGTAATATTTGTTCAACAGCCTTTTTAACTGGAATTGGTGGTTTCAGAATTGATCCAATTTAAACGGCTGTGCTGGAGTGTTAAATTCACTTTGTAAATCAAATTTACAACTACTGACAGTAGAGGGTGCTGTTGAGTCATGTTGGGAATGAACAGAAAGAAAAAACAGATGGTGGTCTGAACCAAAATAGAGGATAAATAAAGATGAATCAAAGATTTCAAGAGTCAAATTCAGAAACATATTCAGGTTAATTTAAAGAAAAGAGTTGAAAAAAATCTAGAATTGCGAAGCAGTTATGACTGGGGTCCAAGCCTGTTCAAGCATGTCAACAGTGGCTTATATCATTTCCAGCATCCTGTTGACCTTGTGGACCACAGAATTGTAACATGATGGGGAGTTTTTATAATTTTTGTTTGAGGGCCAGATTGCTACAGCATCTTTTCAGCACCTTTTTCCATGTGTGTGCCCAAATGTTTTTCCATTTTTGGTTCCAATGCACTTTTGGATCACTTTTGTCCACATAAAGTGGAAAAAGTAGTATGTATTTGTGACCCTGTAAATGGAAAAAGTCAAGAGTATGGCATGTTTACTTGTATTTATTTTTGTTTTGTAGTTTTCCCCAGAACCCACAGCCATTTTAAATACTCTTACTGTATGTGGATCAAATGTTGGTCCCCTAATGTGGATTTGAAACTCATAGATTGTCCTCATGAGACTAGTAAAACAAGTGTGTGTGTGTGTGTGTGTGTGTGTGTGTGTGTGTGTGTGTGTGTGTGTGTGTGTGTGTGTGGATATGATAAGAAATGCACAAAAATACACACTATTATCTACTGTCTATTTACCATTGATGTTATTTTTCTTTAAGCATATTTTGCTGTACTACACTGAGGACATTAAATATAATTTCACACACACAATAGTTTCCATTTTTTAAGTTCCAATCAACTTTGAGATGTTCTTGAAGGCCACTCCTTCCATCATTACAAAACAACTGCATAGTAAGAGTAAAAAAAACAATGGCTTAAAAAAGAATAAAAAACTAATTTTGTCCTTAATGCACCATTTTGTGGTGCTGCTGGACTTATCATCAATGATGTAAACTGGGATCATGGGAAGTTTTAGATTTAAAAAAAAATCTGACCTTGTTGACCCAAATCTCTTCTTAAACAGTGTCTTTTTGTTCACTTTCACAAAACAGACACTGATTTAACCTCTTAAAAGTTGYCCCTGAAATTCTCAAAGCCTTTCAGCATTTTTTTAAATTTTTTGTAAGGTKGTCAAACTAAATGTAAGAACTAGAGAATATCATCTTACACCCTAGTTTTCAAAATAAAAGCCCCCGGTGGCTTCTGGGAACTTTTAAAGGCAGAAACTGCACAGTTTTTGCCCACCGGTGGAACAAAGACATTTCTTTCAGAAATGTATTAAGAAAAATGAAGAAAATGCAAAAGCATCACAGTTTTGTCTTTGAAGAATCAAATTGTTCACTAAAATCTGTTAGTTTGAAGAAATTTATGTAGATAGACACATGCCTGAAAACATAACTGAATTGTTCATCTTCATTAGAGCAAATTATTATTGTCTGGAGATATGACTGAAGTGGGTTAGGGACCCTTTCCTGATGACGTAATAAAATAGGCGGAGTCATGTCTTGAAGCTCCTGTTATATTAAACTGATTTCCGGATTTTCGGGGCCTGAACACAACTCATTAAATGCCTTCAGACCGAGCAGCTCTTGGGGTGTTGTAGGCTCTCTTTACTATTCATTTCCATGCATTGGTACATTCTCCGTATGGTTCAAGCACATAAYATGGTAAACAAACACGCCTAACAATACTTTCTTTCAGGATGGTGACCCCGACGTTCCATTTATGAGAGCTTGATCTGGGTGACCGAGAGACTTCACTGACTGGTCCTGTGCCGATGGAGAGGCCTAGCTCCAGGGGCGGTTTGCCTTGTTTGGGAGTGCCTATTCAACGCGGTCCAGGCACCGAAAATCTGAGTTGAGCGAACTTAATTTGCTTATTCCTCATAAGAATTACATGGACCGTGTTGCGTAGTTGCTTCGAGTTAAGGGGGAGGCCATGGAGAAAACTTATTTTTATCTTCGACRCTCTGTTCAGGCAACTAGGACTAGCTCAGAACAACATCCAGCCATGGTCTACCAGATGACACAGCAGGAGGGACCCGTGCCACTGCCACCACTTCACTACCCATATGGAGCCGACCATGAYTGACAGCATGGAGACCAAACCTACTATTCATTTCCATGCATTGGTACATTCTCCATATGGTTCAAGCACATAACATGGTAAACRAACCAGCTTAACAATATTTTCTTTCACTATGGTGATATTTTCTTTCACATTTGATGCCAAGTCTTTGCTTGATCACTTTATGGTGTGTGTGTGTTGTGGTCATCTTTCATTTTGTTGCTTCATAAACATGAAAAGGACCTTGCTAGRGCCTTTTTCTTACTGAACTGTTTGGGCACCACGGCCCCCAGTAGCCTCTTTACGAGGCCCAGACGTCCTGTCCTGATCAGGKTCTTTGATAACTCTGTGACCTCCTCGGTGTGTGTTCTGTACAAGCATTTCAGCTCAGAGTCCAAACTGTCCTGTGGGTAACGCTGCTCTGCCTTGTTYACCCACAGTTCCAGCTGGGTGATGGCAGGACCCGACTCGTTACCATCCAGCATGAACAGAGCCAGGAGCGTCTGTAAGAGGCAGCGCAGGGCTGTGGTGTCTGTGGTCCCYGGTCTCTCCAAGTCCATGGCCTTCTTGAAACAGTCTGCAGCGTTGTGCTCTTCACCTTTCAGCAGGAGGCAGCGCCCTCTGAGCACATGGAGGTCCCATAAGCTGTCACCCAGCTCAAACTGGAGGGCGTGAGACAAACTCACCAAAGCACTGTTTATTGAACTCTCGTCCACCAAAAGRCTCTCCCTAAGAGCATCTACGCCCATGTAGTAGTATACCTAAAAGGAAAAGCATATTTCTTAAAACCCTGTTTTTATCGGGRTCTCTGAGCTTCATGACCTCCGTTAAAGTTTTACCTGGGCCATCTCCAGATGAATCCTCAGACATGGACGCACACTTAGCACCTTGTCCAAGTCTTTTCTCGCCTCACTTAGCATCTGCCTGTCTGGGACTCCTCCTTTTCCATGTTTTGCTTTGTCAAGATCCCTGGCRTACAGGATCATATTGATCTAAAATAAAAAATATATAWACAGTATATCACTTTGCTTWTACCATGTCTMATCAATTGCAATTGCAGGTAAATGTAGTGTAAGGTATTATAGCTGGAACAAAGTTGCTTCAGCATTGATTTAAAATTATTTGTATCCTAACACGAGTCGACATGAGTCTGATGCAGTACCTTGGCTCGAGTGCAGTAAGCCTGCCAGTTGAGCTCCGGATCTGGCAGAACGTCCAGAGCCATGTTGCAGATACCTGTGGCCATGTCGTGCTTGCCCAGCAGGAAGAAGAYTTTGGCAAGAAGGTTCAGAATGATGGCATCATCACTGGCAACATTTATGGCCTGAAGGCAAAGATAGTTTAGGTCAAYTGGACATACACAAGGTGGCAGCTGTTTAAATTTTAAGAGGGGTATTTTGTATTTTGCAGGCACATAGTTCAGTTCTCAATTGTTACCTTAAATTGTTATGAAAATGCTGTATTCATCAAAAATAAATTTAGTTTTTTCATCATAGTCTATCTAAACACCTTGAAATTGGCCTCTGTCTCTTTCCATTTCTGACACTCCCACTTCAGCACATCTTCACAGCAATGCTTCATGCTGTTTGCAACCTTTCATAAGAGTGTTGTATTTTGTTGTAGAAAAAGAAGCAACATTTTATGACATCAGTTTTGGAAAATGGCAACTCAGGATACAGTTGAAATTTGCTCAAACTATCCCACATTGGACCTGGAAAGTACGTTTCCTGAAGAATCAACGCAAGTACAGTGGCTTTTACATATCTCCCAGTCATCCTCTCATACATATGTCAATGTTAGGCTACCTTTTTGTGAAGAAACTTTAAATATGCATCATGATCATCATGATGTTATGTTTTGCAATAAAAATCATGGACATCTACGATGCATTTTGCTAGTCTGGTGAAGATGTGGGGGAGGGGTGTTCTGTGGGGCGGGACCTTGGCTCGGGACTGAGCTCCAGGGAGGTGCTTTGGGTAAACAGGTGGAGCTTTGTACCAGCAAGATTTTAGGCAGCTCCAAAGCAACATTCTGGGTATGTTTTTGTGGAGGGAATGACATAATATAATATAAAGCTCAAGTCAAATTTTGCATAATGCCCCCCTTGAAAGTCTTAAAACAAGACACAGGATGAGACCTTTGCTTGATTTTTGGTGAAATGTTTAAATATGTGAATTAACTTACAGTTGCATAGCAAGACAGAGGATCAGAAGCAGAGAAGCCGCAGTCRTGAATGGACATTGGTACAGAAGAAAACTCGCCTTTCCTTTCCAACATGATGCCAACATAACACCAGGACAGAGCTGATAGGAGAGAATGAAGACACACTACTCTATGTTCTTTTTAAACTTCTAAATCAAGACATCATTTTATCACTCACAAACATCACACACTTACCTTTGTGCTGTTTTGTTTCAGAATCCAGAGCTTCTTTTAGGAGCTGAAGTCCCTTATTATAGTGAAAGAGTCTGGAGTATTCTGAATCCTCTTTAGTCTTTATGATGTGGTCCAGTCTGCAAGAGGAAAACAGCTTAAATATTTTCTCTCTGTTTAGCCACATTTATCTGGAATTGTTGKGTTCACCACTTTACCTTGCATAAATGGTTGCCATTTTAAAATACCAGCTTCTTTTTTCTTCAGTTGATACCTAAAGTAATAAAAGAACAGCAGCTCAGACACTTTGAAAACTTCTCTACTCAAACAAGTAGACTTAGCTTGTATTGGGCAGATATCTGAMTTTATAAAATATATTTTTTATGCTTTCTATGAAGCCAGATCCTGTAACACCAGTAAAATACTGTTTGTAAAGTGACTCATTTAAGTGTGAATACATAATTATGACTAGCACAACCTGGACCGCGCACCATTTATCAAAAGGGCAAGTCGAGGAATGGTGCTCAACAAGTCTGTTTCGTTGCACCTCATGTTCCTGTAGTAAAGTTTATCGCATCAACTTTCTGAGTACTCGTGTGCACCGCCTTACCAGGTGACCTCCGTAATGCAGAGCTCGGTTGTAAAACATCAGCGCCGACATCAGCCTCTCCCTCAAGTGGTCGTCGCTGTCCAGCTCCACGTCGTAAGGGTAAACGTAAGCCTGCTCGGCCAGGCAGCGTGCGGCCAGGAGCCTGGTCTGCTCCTGGGACGCCTCTCCGGCTCCGATGCCCATGAGCTGGGACACTTTGTCCACACATTCCCCCGCTTCCAGCTCTCTCCCCTGGAAGTCGTACACATAACCCAGATTGGCCCAGGCGTTGAGGTTCCCCGGGTCTTCTTTACAAATGCTCCTATGAAGGGAGGAAACCASAAAGAGGTGAAATGATAATTCTTCATGTTTATTTTAACACTTTGTATGTGTTTTAGTTATCATTTTTTGTATTGAACTAAGGGATTTACTCTTGATAGCAAGATATTTTTAAAAAATGTTTGTCGCTAAGATTGACTTTTTTTAACAGTTAGGAAACTCTGCAGAAACCTGTTTGTGACTCATTTATCCAAATCAAATTTGTTGACGCAATGAAACATCTAAAACATGGAGGACACAGGACTGAGATCTSGGAGTGTATAATAAGCACAATGTAGTAAATGAGTAAGCATAATTTTCTAAATTATTGCCATATTAAAAGCATTGTACTCTGAGATCAAAGCGCTCGAATTTCAAAACAATATGGAATAAACACCAAAGAATAAACTGTTTTGTGTTACATTTAAAAG